TCGCACGGCCGGGAAAGGCGCTCCCAGCGCGAGCCTGGAGGAGGCCCGGGCGGGGCGACTACTGGGGGAGGGGACATCCGGCACTGCTGACCAACGCCGGCTCCCAGAGAGGAAACTGAGATCGGGGGTGGCTCAGGACGTGGCCGAACTCATGCGAGTGGCTGAGATTGGGACCCTGCTTCCTTTCTTATTCTAGGCTACCCGCCACCCGCACCTCCCCCTTCTGGTTTCCTCCGCAGGCAGATGTGTCTATTTGCCTAGTACTGCGTTGACGTGTTTTATTTTAATTTGGTTGCTAATATTTGAAAATCAGGAGATTTCAAATGAGAAGTCAGGTTTTCATTTGTTTTGAAAAAGTCGAAGGTCTAATAAGGTAGGGCACTCAGCCTGGCTTCCCACTTTCCTGGGAGGAAGCAGCCCAGCCCCTCCCCACGGTTTCCCCAGGGTGGAGGGTCAGGGGGCTATTTCTATGCTACCTACGGGGCAATGGGCTCTCTGAGCCCTTGTCATTTTAAGCTCGGAAACAGAAGTAGATGCCCTGGGGCCCAGAGCTCTAGACAGATGCTGAAACGGGGAACATTCCCCTTCACAGTTAAAGCTGCCTGTGAGAGGTGAACCTTCACAGGTGGAGAGAGGAAATGTGCAGTGCTGGGAGGAGTTCACCGCCCTGGGGAAGAGTGGTTTTGAACTATGCAGCTTCCTCAGTACCTAGGAAAGTCAGGGCTTCCTGGAAGGGGTGACAGCTGAAAGGGCTGTTTCAGAAGGAGGAAAGGTACCAGGCACTGAGGAGGACCCATTTGGGGAGGGCTTCTTATGGGCACAACACGCCAACGGCCCCTGATGCCGCCGCTGTCCCTGGTCCTGAGGGCTGGGCCCAGCTCAGGAGCCAGCCCTGCAGGAGGCCGACATCAGACCACAGAGGGTTTATCAGGAGAACCACACGACCAAGACCGGAAGGCCTCCACCGGGGAGGGAAGCCAGGCTGGCCCAGGATCCAAGGCGCCGCCATCTGCCCACCGCAGAGGGGTTCCTATCCAACCAAATGCCAGCTTTCATTAGGGGGCATTTTCAGTCCTGATTAAAACTATTCCCCATGGTTCGCCCCTGGCTTCTTTCATTTAGAGGATTCTATCTCATTTCTGAGGGACCATGCTGGGGGAGGGGTGCAGGTGGGGAGGGGTGCAGGTGTTGGGAGAGGAGGGATGCACGAACCCGAGCAGGCCGAAGGGGGGTTAAACGCGGGTCCGGAACAGGCGGAGGGCGTGTGCAGGGACTGGAGGTGGGGAGCGGTGAGGTGCAGGCGCGGGAGCCGTTGCGAGAGGGTGCGGGGCGCGTAGTCCTGACAGGCGGTGGCTGCCTGGTCTGCGTCGCGCCGCGCGGGGGACAGACGCGGCGGATACTGGGGAAGTGCCTGGACCCCGGGAGGTAGAAGCGGGAGGGGCGGTAAGTCGTTCCCTGGCCTCCCCCCTTGCCCGCACCGCCCGGGGAAGGCTGGTTTCCGCTCGGCCGCCGCCTCG